AAAATAATTTTCCTTCAAAAAAAAAAAAATCTTTCTGTCCCCAGTAACATTTTATATATATACTGTGTATATATATATATATATATATATATATATATATATATATATATATATATATATTAATTAGAAAGGTACCATTGTGTGGGTTTACTTGGCTTTACAATGGATTTACAATGTTTTATTTTTGTGGGTTTTTTTCTTAATTACATTTTTTTTTTTTACTGTAATATTTTGGTGTGAAATACAATCACGCTGTATTATAATTAGACCAATATCAAAGCAATAGGAGTCTATAGTATGTGCTCATTTATGGGTAAACTGACATATATTTGTAATTTTTTCTAGAGCATAACTGGACACTTTGTCGGGAGTGTTGAGGATCAGGCAACAGTGAGCTGTTCTTTGGAGAATAACCGGCTGTGTGATGGAGGAGTTCCTCTGAAGGTTATTTTACGGTCATTTGAGTTTTGTTAATTAAATCCCTTTAATCCAGGAGTTTTATTATTGTTGTGAATCAAACTCATTGTCTAACCCTAGAGGACGCCGTTTTTCCCCATCAAATACCTGTCTCACTTGGAGGCAGACTCCCAGCCCCCTGATACCCTCAACCGTGGGGTAGACGTGGGCGTGGCTGTTCTGCTGCAGTCAGCCAATCAGAGACTGTTGCTAACGTGTGCGCCTCCAGCCTCCGGATCTTCAATAGGGTCTGGCTGCAGACATGCACTTGCATTTTCAGACTTGCACTCTCAGACTTGCACTCTCAGACACTTTGACATCAATTGACTCTTTTGACACTCAATTGACACTTTGACTCTTCCGCAATTGACATCACTTTTTTTCAGTCTTTTTTTTATTTTATTTAATTGATTAATATTTTTTTAAATTGAATCTCTAAACATTTGACACAAGTAGCCAGGTGGTGAAGACAAGAAAAAAGAAACTAAATCACTAAGTCGCTTGCACTTTTAGCTACTTGCAATCCACACGAATCGAGCATGTTGCCAATGGAGAGAAGACGCTGTGGTGGTTAAATGATTAAAACTAATTTAGTAGCCTACTATAACATACTGGGTCCTGCAAGTCATCTGTAGGAGAAAAAGACAAGACCCACAAATCCGTGGCCACAGAACAGCAGAATATGAATGCAATGCGCAAAGTCTCTCATGAAGCGCTTTTAAACCTCCCGTAAACCTTCACATATTTTTGTGAAAACTGATACAATGTTCAGGATTCTTTGATAAATAGAAATTTCAAAAGAACAGCATTTATTTGAAATACAGTTTTTTTTGTAACATTCTAAATGTCTTTACTCTCACTTTTGCTCAGTTTAATGGATCCTTGCTTAATAAAAGTATTAATTTCCTTCAAAAAAAAAAAAATCTTACTGACCCCAGTAACATTTTATATATATACTGTATATATATATATATATATATATTCTGAATGAATGAATGGTACCATGGCTCATTGATTTCTGTGTGTGTCTAAAACTAGCTGTTGGATGCAGGACTCAGGGAGCTAAAGGAAGAGACCGGTCTGAAACTGAGCCCTGATGAGATCTCCTCTCAACAGCATTTATTTGAAATACAGTTTTTTTTGTAACATTCTAAATGTCTTTACTCTCACTTTTGCTCAGTTTAATGGATCCTTGCTTAATAAAAGTATTAATTTCCTTCAAAAAAAAAAAAATCTTACTGACCCCAGTAACATTTTATATATATACTGTATATATATATATATATATATATTCTGAATGAATGAATGGTACCATGGCTCATTGATTTCTGTGTGTGTCTAAAACTAGCTGTTGGATGCAGGACTCAGGGAGCTAAAGGAAGAGACCGGTCTGAAACTGAGCCCTGATGAGATCTCCTCTCAGCTTCTCAGCCTGTGGGAGGTGTGTGTTTATAGCACAGTGTTTTCGTAAGACCTGCAGCCAAAGTCCAGGGGGCCACTGCACGCTGAATTTGACAGATTGAGGTTTGGGTCCATGACATAACAAGTCAAGTACAAG